TGTACCAGCAATAAAAATTGTCATGAGCAATCATTTTTTTTTTTTTTGTTAAGTATTGCTCTGCATAAGCATTCATTGAAATGAAATGAGTAGCCATGTTTTTTTGTTATGTTATGCCCTGTACTAGCAGTAAAAATTGTCATGAACAATCTTTTTTTTTTTTGTTAAGTATTGCTCTGTATAAGCATTCATTGAAATGAGTAGTCCTGTTTTTTTGTTAAGTTATGCCCTATATATGCTCAAAACACAAACATATTTTGCAAGGAAACCACTTCCAGAAAAGTCATATTTCATTCATAAGCTAATCAATTACAATAGGAGTCATATTTACAACAAGTAGTCATATAATTACAAAAGTAGTCCGCACCACATTATATTACACTTGCTCATCACCTATTACAAAAGCAGACTATGATCAATTACCCTGCAAATTTAATTGCCAAAATAGCAATTATGAAGATACAACAAATTAAACACTTTTTCAACTTCAAATAACTTGAAGCAACTGTTTCAATCCCACTGACTTTGTTTTCCATTTCACAGTTCAAATTCTTCAAACCATCAATCTCTCTATGCAGGTCTAGGTTCTCCTTTTTCAACTGTAAAATCTCATTCATCAATGCTTGCTCTTTATCCCAGCAATATGTTATCCAAAACTTAGGTCAAGAATCAAAGTCATCATCAAACCAAATGAAAAAATTGCAACCAGATTTCAATTCACATGGGTCATTACACAACAGTCCATAGGTATGGCCGGCTTCCTCACCATCCTTCTACAACAATAAAAAAACAATAAAAGCAATAATAAAACAATTAAAAAAAACCTAACCAAAAACAATCTTAACCGAAAACAAACAAAAATAAAAAACCAGATTCCTCATCAAAGCAGAGCACAACACAGCAAACTGATCGAAGAGCAACAGATATAACCAAAGCAAAGAGAAGATATCTGAGCAGAGCAGTATAGAGAAGGATTAACATTAATATATAAACAAATTGCTCAAAGGCCCACATTTGCAAAATCTAAAACACAAAAACAAGCTTTACCAAAAATTTTGGACATCCCCAAAACCTGCATCCATAGTTCAATCGAGTCATAGCAGTTCTTTTAACTAGTTGAAGACCACATTTGCAGAGACCCACAAACTTGCCATAATGAGGAGATGAAGATGGAGAACCAAATTGAAAGGATGGTTGATGGGAATTGCTTGAATACATGCTAGGTTCGGTGATTGGATGAATAAAAACAAGGAAGATGATAGGACCAGAAATTCGAAACAGGAATTAAAGAAGATTAATTGAACCAGAGGGGTCTAAGGGAAGGGAAAAAGAAGAAGAACCAGGGAAGGAGAGAGGCCCTATTTTGACTGTATCGAAAGATCAAATGATTGAAGAGAAAGAAGAATTTCAAGCAACTAGAGCAACTAGAGCAACTAGGGTTCCTGGTGCAAGCAAATGGAGGAAAGAGGGGAAAATGTTGACAGAGAATTTGGGGCTTGGTGGCGTTACGGTTTCTGCAAATGGGGGAAAATTGGGGGAAAATGTGGAGGGAGAGAGGAGAGATACAAAGAAGACAGTTGGCAAATTTAAAAGAAGAAAACGGGTTCACTATGGTCCTTATTCTTGCACAGGTGGGCAGCATATGTGGAAAAAAAAAAACAAATGGGTTTAACTGTTGACCGTTTGGGACTTAACGGTCAGTAGTGACAGCAACATGAACGGTGTTAGGGGAGGGTCGACAACGAACAAAAAAAGCCAAGTAGAGGGACGACGTTTTGGCTCTTTGGAGAGTAGAGGGACGACAACGAACATGACCTTAGTAGAGGGACAAGAACAAATAAAATATTAAAGTAGAGGGACGACAGTTGGCTTTAAACCCATTCCTTTCGGTATCTGTATTTGTGTTTTATATGTTTGTTTATAAGGTTGCAAGTACTTAATTTATGTGATAAAAAATTCTTCTTTACTTCTCGGAGACGCTAATGGCTCTTTAACGTTTACATTGACAACGTTTTTGAGTGATTTAGCTTTTAATTTTTATATCTTTTTATTATTTTAAAAATATATAAAATTTAATCATAACAAATATTAAATATATTTTATATATTTTATATATTTTTAAAATATTAAAAAATTAAAATTTCTATAACTATAGTTACAAATCAGCATGGTTAAAATAAATCTAAATCTATATATTCATATTATGTTTAAAAAACCTCATATACTAAAGAATATAGGTTAAACTAGTGTATAAGGTCTCAAATTTGTACTAAATTCACAATTAAGGTCTCAAAAATTTTATTATACTTAATTAAAGTTTTAAAGTTATTGAAATTCTTAAATAAAATCCTAATTAGATGAAATTGTTAAATTCATTAAATCTTTTATAGCTAACAAAGTGAATAATAAGGTTCCAAACTTATGTCAAATTCATAACTAAAGTTTCAAAATTTTGTTACACTCAATAAAAGTTTTAAAATTATGATAATTCTCAAATAAAATCCTAATCAGTTAGCTAGGTCTTTTTTTTTCTTTTATGCACATCAGTTAGCAAGGTCTTAAGTGTGTTTTTAACCCCGTAAACTTCAAATGGTTAAATAACAAAAAAAACTACACTTTCAATTTTAGTCTTTAATAACTTTAAAACTTTCAAAAATCTCAAAATACTCTTAAATTTATTTTTGCTCTTTGTTTATGAGGAAATTTTTGTGAGACCCAACTAAAAATTAATGTGGCATATATGTGGATCTCAATTTTATTTAATTTTTTTCATGAGTGAATTTACTATGTAAATATGTGAGACCCACTCAAAAAATTTGCTGTAGTCAAAAAACCTCAAAAAAAAAATTTAATGGTTAATTAAATTTTTAATTCCATCAAAAAATTTAATGAAATCATTTAAAGTATAATTAATAAATTATATAAGATAATTAGAATTAATTTTTAATTGTACGTCCCACAAAAATTTCTTTATCAATAAAAAAAAAATTAGTGTAAGGAGCATTTTGAAGTTTTTGAGAGTTTTAGGGTTATTGAAAGTTAAAATTAAAAGTCTAAGAACTATTTTATTATTTAACCAATTAAGTTTAACAGTGTTAACAAAAGATCTAATGGATATAACAATTTTCATTCAATCGGTACCTTATATGAGAATTTTAACAAC